GACATACATTTTAAAATGAATAAAGAGGAACTAATTTAAAGAAATGAATAAGGCAGACTGGTCGGTAACTCATTTGCCTACATAATAACTTCCTAACATCAAATTACTGAGCAAAAGTAAAAAAAAAAATGTATACTTTATCATTAGAGTGTTGTCCTTGAATTCCTATCAAGTGACACTTCTTAGGACTGCCTGAGATGAGAATCCTGGGAGAATGCTTGAGCAGCAGAGAGTCAGATTCCTCAATGTGGATCCCCCTGTCATCAATATGTTCCACAAGGTGTCCTGGCAGATCACAAAGAAACGGGTGGTAGGAAGTGCTAATTTGTGATCTTGTGATGGATTTTTACACTGGCTAAGCTTAGGGTGAGAATAAGAAGAGGGACTGTTGTACTACACACAGCCAAGGACATAAAAACAACTGGATAGGCACTAGGATTTACGTGGCCGTGCCAACTGTGGGTCAGTATGCTAGTCATATAAGTAGATGCTAACCCTTAAAGATACGTAAAACAAAGATGGTGCCAGCCTTTTGGGAAGAAAGGAAGATAAAAGCACTGTCTAAGAAAGGATGATGTTATCTCTGAGAAGGGTTAGATCCCTGTAGGTGTTACAGTGAGACATTATTCAGTATGCTAGGTCTTCTCTAAAGTGTATGTAAGTCTTAAATCTATTTTTCAGTATGATTGCCATAATTCCTTACAGTATAACATTTATTAAGCATATAGTGTTGTGAATTTGTGGCACAGTTATGTACCTGGTGATCCTGTCAGTAACAGCACTTCTTGTTGCAAGCTTTTGTTGCTCTTGTTAAGCAGCAGTACCATTGTCAGCCTGCCATGTGAGCTCCTTTGGTTGCCCATTAGGCTGATTTGGATAAACTTGATAAGCAGCCCAACAGCCAACTGATGAAGGGTGCATGGCAGACTGACAATGCTACTTGCTAATTGTGGGGCAGCAGCTCTATGTAAGAAAATTTGCAGTTGTACAAATAAATTCACTAAATATTGTTTGCTGAAAACAAAAACAGTGAAACATAGATTTTTGGGTTTACACACTGTACAGCAAGCCAGGGATGGGTCCTGGAGGCAGATATATTTTCCTGTTATTTATATTGTGGCCCCTTTAAGGGAAAGCTCAAGAGGCATTGCTAATATTCATGAAGGGTGAGGGGGTTCCATGGTATTCTGGACAGGGATGGGAGGGCTGATTTACAGTACTCTCTGGATTGGTAAGTTCATATTTGAAACCCAGAATTTGAAGGTTTAAAGCAGGGGTCCTCAAACTTTTTAAACAGGGGGCCAGTTCACTGTCCCTCAGACCAATGGAGGGCCGGACTATAGTTTAAAAAAAAAAAATTATGAACAAATTCCTATGCACACTGCATATATCTTATTTTGAAGTAAAAAAACAAAACAGGAACAAATACAATATTTAAAATGAAGAACAAGTAAAGTTTAATCAACAAACTTATTAGCATTTCAATGGGAACTATGGGCCTGCGAACCGCTGCGGGTGTCATTCAAAAGTTAATGACACCCGCAGTTTTGTTCACATGTTATGGCCCCCCCATGTCACTGAAACCCCCCCCCCCATGTCAGTGTCTTCCCCATGTCACTGACCCCCATGTCACTGTCCTCAGCACATGTCACTGCCCCCCACATGTCACTGTCCTCCACATGTCACAGCCCCCCCATGTCACTGACCCCCACACATGTCACTGTCCTCAGCACATGTCACTGGCCCCCCACATGTCACTGTCCTCCGCATGTCACAGCCCCCCCATGTCACTGACCCTCACACGTCACTGGCCTCCCACATGTCACTGGCCCCCCACATGTCACAGCCCCCCCATGTCACTGACCCCCACACATGTCACTGTCCTCAGCACATGTCACTGGCCCCCCACATTTCACTGTCCTCCGCATGTCACAGCCCCCCCATGTCACTGACCCCCACACGTCTCTGGCCTCCCACATGTCACTGGCCCCCACATGTCACAGCCCCCCCATGTCACTGACCCCCACACATGTCACTGTCCTCAGCACGTCACTAGCCCCCCACATGTCAGTGTCTTCCCCATGTCACACCCCCCCCATGTCACTGACCCCCCCCATACGTCAGTGTCTTCCCCCTGTCACAACACCCCCTCCATGTAACTGTCCTCTCTCTGATCCATGATGCTCCCCAATACGCATCTTTGATCCATCTTGCTGGAGCATCGGTGGCTAGTGATCCGCGGGATGAGCGGTGTGTGTTAGTGTAATCAGCGGTGCAGCAGAAAAGGGGTTAACTGTGACAGCTCTGTGCTATGGTTGTTGATCGGCGATCGGCTACTTCTGCCGAAAACCGTGACATGCGCAGATGCGTCAGGGACACACATCTTCAAAGGGGAACTCATCTTGCCGCTACAAAATACCCGGCGGGCCGGATAAATGTCCTCGGCGGGCCGCATGTGGCCCGCAGGCCATAGTTTGAGGACCCCTAGTTTAAAGAGACCTTTGGCTGGGAAAAAATCTTCAAACCCTGCTTACAGGGACCTGATCCTGAAGGAGTTAAGTCACCTGCAAGGGAGGCTTGAAAGGCTGAAGAAACGAATCAGTATCCATCTAAGTGGAGTGTGAGGCAGCTCACAGATATGAGATAGTACGGACTGTCTGGTGTCTGTTTGCTTAGCTCCTGCAGATTTTCTTGTACCCCCAAAGCAGACGGGAACCTAAAACCCAGGCATGGGACTGGCATTAAGGTGGTGAGGCATATTATTCCTTCCAATATACCAGTAATTGATGGACTATTTTTGTTTGTTTTCTTTGCTGAGGATAAGCTATTTTTCGGTTTGCCTGTTTTGGAAAATAAAAGGACTGTCTGCTTTTACGACTGGCTGATGATCCTGGGCTTCCACATATTACAAAACACTTTTATCACATGCATTTTCACGTGTCTCAATGGTGAATGGAGAAGTCAATAACATCTCAGTGCTGTAGTAGAGACCAACATCTACAAAGACTCCATCCTGTGCATTTTTCTCCCTCAATGTCTGCTGCAGCACTGAGCTGTTATGAATTATGTGAATGAAGCCTCCATTCATCTTCACAATCAGGGAAACATCTACCGACACAGATGAATCAGCGGGAAAATTGATTTCTGCCTACTATGTGGCTCTAATTAGGACCTCCCACTCTAATATTCAGAAAGCAAAAAAATAGATGGCAAAATAAGCTCCTTCAACTTTCAGGGGAAGACTGGACAGAGTGCACAGACACTTACTGTTGTCCTCTAGAGATAGTTATCCAGCTTAAAGTGGAGTTTCAGTCTCTCAATCAACATGGACTATTTTGAATCCTTATGCTGCTAGCATTAGTAAGTAGATATGAAAGTATATCATATTTACTTGTTTTACACAGTTTTTTTTACATTTCTTTCGTTACAACCTGGTTTCAATGCCTAGGAAAATTATGTCATACATTCCAAGAGTCTCCAGGAGGGGAGGATGGGTTTTCTAAGCACACCCTCCTGTCTACATGCCTGAGCTAAAGGCTAAGGGAAGATGTATTCCAGGAATTAAATGCTACATGTATCATCTGTCCTTACTCAAGATGGCCAAGGCCGGAGATGCTAGGGTGGTGTTTTTTTTAAGTAATTTCTTAGTAAAATAAAGCATGGAGACATGGATGAATGGGTGTTAGCTTAATTATTAAAAATGAATTAAAGTATTAGAAATGAATTAAATAGCACTTTTGGTTTGTGGTGCTTTGATACAGTGTAGTTCCTCTTTAAGCTCTTTCATAAAATATAGTAACCCCACTAAAGATGAAAAATCTGGTCATACGCTCCTCCCCACTGTGATTCCATGGTTGTGGTGCAACAGCACTTTTCTTTGTCATGTAGACCTGTCCTGAGGTCCAGTCTTTTTGGTCTAAGATAAACAACTTCAGCTACTCTTCATCGCGCCTCCCCAATGTCTGTAATTCTAAAATCTGCCTCCTTAGTATTCTAAAACTTCCTAGTTTCAAATATGCTGTGATTCTACTGTGAATGTTGTATTTTTTATGCAAAAAAAGGCCATTCTTTCTACATGGAAGAGTCCACACTCTCCATCCTTGGCAGAATGGAAAGAACTGGAAAATACAGACATCCTGTTATATAAACTCACCAATGAACTTTGTTAAAAACTATTACATTTTGAACTTCTCTGGGAGAATAAATCTGATTGTACCCCCTCTACTCGGGTGTTTTTGTTAACATCTAGAGAATACTTGGTGGTGTAGTCTTGTACAGTTCTTGATTAGTACAATTGTGGTCCTTATAACTCTGCTTCAATAACTACTGTACATAATTATGCAAGTTGTTTATTGACTGTTTTTGTTTTATGTCTAAAATCAATAAAAATATCATTTAAAAATGGGAAATGAGCTACAAGCTGTTTGACATGGTCCATTGCCCATCTCTAATCATTGTTTTTAATGTGCTTATTCTGGGTTGATTACAAGGACAACAGACAGTGCACCAAAGTCCAGACATCCCTTTGCCTGGATTTAAAGGATAAATGCATTTCTAACTCCTTAGGACAGGTTGAACTGGTCAGGTTTTTAGTTCAGAACAGAAAGTACCTAGGGGAGCATAAATGACCATGTGCAAGTACTAAGCCTATGTTCCATGGAGGACACAGACATTGAAATACTACCTACCTCCAAACAAACAAAAAATCATAAACTTTAGACAGTAACAACTCCCTAAAATAAAAAAATTAAGGCTGTGTGTTGACTATCACAGGAACCACCATAGGCTCAAGAATAATTGTACCAGCAAATGGGTGGGTTGGATATTCGTGCCTGAAATAACCCAACAGTAACATATCCATGTTCAATAAATGAAGGCTTACAAGCTTTACAGTTGTATTCATTTAGTTGAGATCAGCACAGTGCTCATTGCAACGTTCTCCTCGTAGAGAAGAAATAATCAATCCATATAATGTAGTAATAATATAATCAGGAACAAACCTTCAAATCCATCGGTGTCCAGGTCTCCGAGATTAGTAATAGCTTCTCCAAACCTTGCTGCATATAAGTCACTTCCTGAAAGTTCATATTCCATTTCTGTCATTGTGCCCTTCAAAACAAATACAAGGAGTGTTTTGTTATACATTCAATAAACACACTAAAAATCACAGAGCATGGAAAACATATTCGAACTGCAGCAGCTCTACATTTTACCTGATTTTTTTTTTTTTTAAAAAAAAACCTTCCTTTGGAAAAACACAAGATGTTAACCAATGTTTCTTGCTTTGCCCAAGTGGGGCAATCACCAGTATTGTCACATGGGGAGAGTTTAAAGCCGAGTGTAACCTACAACTTGACCAACTCTTAGGTTACACAGGATGGTCCTCCTACTCAAGGCAAAAAAAAAAAAAACGGTGGATGAGCGGATGAACGGTTGTGCTGCTGGGGAATGGAGGTTAAAATGAACCCAATGATTTTGGTCACATGATCATTTTAAAAGAAAGATAATTATAATGCTACTGCATCAATGCTAGGTGCAGGGATGTTGGCCTGTTATTTAACTCTATGGCCTCAAATCACATCTGCACACAACAGAATAAGTACCAGGTTTGACTGAGAAGAAAAGCCCAGGAAGTTGGGAAAGGGCTTTGGCACCATTTTCTGTAAAACTCCAGTTACCTTTTGAAGACCAAAAGAGTAATAAATGGTTTGAGGTAATTTTTGCATTGCTGTCTGCATCCTTGTTGTGGATATCACCTCCTCTTCCCGTCCAGGTCAGAAAGAACATAAATTGAGAGAATACCACTCTCATGCTAACAGCCATAAAAGCACTTTTTAGTAGAGAGAGGAAGAGTTGGAAGCTAGGTCAGGTTTTATTGCTATCCCAGATGACAAATAGGACAAGAAGCTAAAATCTCTCTTCAACAGGAACATGGATAATAGTACAAAACCTGACAAAGGATCTACCCTTTTCTACATCATCATAAACTAAAAAAAGTCTTGACTGGAATTGGTCTTTAAAGCTTACCTAAGTTTGCATCGTGGTGGATGGGCTCTTGCTATATTGTGCAAATATGTACAACATACTTGCACATTATGGCATACTTACCTTTCAACGCTGCAATGCAATGTCCACGATTTCCCTCGTTGCTCTGTTGCCACTGCTGGCATCTTCTCCAAGTCTTCTTTTGGGCTTAGCTTCTTTAGCCATCTTGTCTGGCCAGCCTGAGATGACGTAATTCTAGCACACACACACAGAGGCTAGTTCATCCCACCACCCAAGGGATGCAGAGATTGTGCATAGAGCTGTACATTTTCTACTTAGTGTACAATTTAATATTATTTATTTAACTATTACAGATACTTATATAGGGCTGTCAATTTACACAACAGTTTATAGATATACTCATCAGTCACTTTATTAGGTTCACCTGTTAAATTGCTTGGTAACACAAACTGCTAATCAACCAATCACATGGCAACAACTCCATGCATTGAGGCATGTAGACGTGGTGAAGATGATTTGCTGAAGTTCAAAGGAAACTCTCCTCTATCAATACCCAAAAGAAAAGTCACACTTTCACCCTTGAAAGTACACACCATAAACCTTTTCTTAAATACCTTTAACCAACACCTAACAATCCTCACTGCAAATGTCCAAACAATAGTCCAAAATAAGTCTTCAAACAGTCCACCCAATGTCCGTTTCAATTCGACACTCCAGATCCAGAGTACCTCAAAAAAAATATATAAACTAAATATAGTGTATTACCCTTATATTCTTTAAATATTTAATATTTAATAAGTGATACATGATTCATGTAAAAAACAATATTTCAGTGAGAAAGAAAAAAAAAAAATAAATAAATAAAAAGTAAATATAAATGAATATATTCACACAGCACTCTGTGAATGTCCAACACATCAAAAGTGAATGTCAGCACATCAAAAGTAAATAAATAAATAAATAAATTCAAGTGAACACTCCGTGACTCCCCACACTAGTGAGGTTATTACAGCAAACTCCACAACATGTGAAATTGTGTTAAATTCAGTGGTGCCACACAATAGTGGGATTCAAGGCAATTACCCTCTTGCAGCATAAACCAGCATAAACCAGCTCCTCTTGCAGCATAAACCAGTATAGACCAGCACTTCAGGGTTTATAATACCAGCTTCCTCCCTGTGGGTATGCCTTATTTTCTCTCCCCAATTCCTCATGAGAGTAGAGAAGAAAACCATCAGTGGAGTGTAAAGGGTAATAGACACATTTATTTATAATCTTACATTAAAGATTAGGAAATCTGTCCATCTGTCCCATCAGTTCTTAAAAGCTGAATCTCCAGCAACACAAATGGCCGCGCCGCTCCTTCCTTCTGGTTTTGCGTCTGACGGAAGAAGTCGGAAGTGACAAAACGCGTCAGTGACGTGACGTCAGACACAAAACCAGAAGGCGCGGCCATTTTTGTTACTGGAGATTCAGCTTTTAAGAACTGATGGGACAGATGGATGGATTTCCTAATCTTTAATGTAAGATTATAAATAAATGTGTCTATTACCCTTTACACTCCACTGATGGTTTTCTTCTCTACTCTCATGAGGAATTGGGGGGAGTAAATAAGGCATACCCACAGGGTGGAAGCTGGTATTTAAACCCTGAAGTGCTGGTCTATACTGGTTTATGCTGCAAGAGGAGCTGGTTTATGCTGGTTTATGCTGCAAGAGGGTAATTGCCTTGAATCCCACTATTGTGTGGCACCACTGAATTTAACATAATTTCACATGTTGTGGAGTTTGCTGTAATAACCTCACTAGTGTGGGGAGTCACGGAGTGTTCACTTGAATTTATTTATTTATTTATTCACATTTCATGTGCTGACATTCACTTTTGATGTGTTGGAAATTCACAGAGTGCTGTGTGAATATATTCATTTATATTTATTTTATATATTTTTTTTTTTCTTTTTTCTTTCTTTCTCACTGAAATATTGGTTTTTGCATGAATCACATATCACTTATTAAATATTAAATATTTAAAGAATATAAGGGTAATACACTATATTTAGTTTATATTTTTTTTTTTTAGGTACTCTGGATCTGGAGTGTCGAATTGAAATGGATATTGGGTGGACTGTTTGAAGATTTATTTTGGTCTATTGTTTGGACATTTGCAGTGAGGATTATTAGGTGTTAGTTAAAGGTATTTAAGAAAAGGTTTATGTTGCTGAAGTTCAAGCCAAGCATCAGAATGGGGAAGATAAGTGACTTTTAATGTGGCATGGTTGTTGGTGCAAGACTGGCTGGTCTGAGTATCTCAAAAACTGCTGATCTGCTGGGATTTGCATGCACAACCATCTCTGGGGTTTACAGAGAATGGTCAGAAAAAGAAAAAATATCCAGTGAGTTGTGTGGAAGAAAATGCATTGTTGATGTCAGAGGAGAATGGGCAGACTGGTTGTTGCGACATTCAGATGGTAGGGTTAGAGTTTGTCGTAAACTACATGAAAGCATGGATCCATCCTCCCTTGTATCAACGGTTCAGGCTGGTGGTGGTGGTGGTGTAACGGCGTGGAGCATACTTTTTTTGGCACTAGCAAGGTGTACCTAATAAAGTGGCCTTCTGCTAGTGTTAAATGTTTTGTCTCCTCTCTGTAACTGACATATTCTGCTAGAGCGTGTTCTTTTGAAAAACAACAGACTTACTGGCTGGACCACAAACAGAAGAAAGAAACCAAAAATAGAAAAAGACCACAGCCATCACATCAAGAATCAGTAAACTGCACTATAGTACATGTTTGCTTTTGAGTTTAACACTGCTTTCCATTTTTGATGTCAATCTTCAAAAAGTAACATCTGTTACAGTCAAATATTCTCCCTAAAACAAATCTTGAAAGTACCTACAAAAATACAATTTTGAATAAAGTTTTGGTGCCAATGTAGTAAAATCAAAAGTTCAGTTCACTGTTAATTTACCACAAACTTTCATCAACCTTAAGCCACACAGAGGAAGTGGCATCATTTTTTTTGTCATTTTGGTACAGTATTTGGTTAAAAAAGAAAAAGAGCATACAGACTGAACACGTAGCCAGAAGCAATTATCATGCACATACAGTGCATCTATCATTCATACCATTCAAGCCAATTCCGCTCAGACATGCAAGTAGCTTGACATTGAAAATTCATTTTTACTAGCCATTGAACCATTTTTTATTTTACCCAGCATGTTTTAAAGTGAACCTCAAGCCTTTAAAAATGTCTAAAGTAGCAACAGTGTTGAACTGAAGCCATTACATTCCTGTGTTATGTTCCTTCAAACCCTTTGAATTCTACTCCAAGTCTGTGTAAACCTCCTCTCCCTATTTAACTATCGATATTGAATGATGACATCAGCATGTCCAAGGCTTCGTGTTGACGTCATCATGCAAACTAGACAATTCCTGGTATTTTCCTTGTTGGACACTTATATTACATTAGTGGTATCGTAATTTTGCTTTATGTAAGGGCAACTGATACCTTTTATTAATAAAGTTGTGTTTTTTACATACTGCGCTGTTTCTCTTTATTTCCTATTTGCTGTATAATTCTTTGGCTGAGTGGCATCCATCCACCTATAGGGAAGGCAAAGTTGCCATATTGATTTCTGGCTCATTTTGACCATTTATGAGTGGATGGTCACATCCAATCTGGTAAAAGGCTTTGCTGTTCACCTTGGGTGCTGTCCCTGTGGCACATGGGTTTCTTTGGTGTGGACTCTCTTTACAGAGTGGGCTGAATTGTATACACTGGATGCAGTGTCATCTTGCTAATGTGTGCATGTTTACAAACATTTGCTCATATGTGAGTGTGCTATTCTTTCTCTATATAGGTTTTCTGTACATATTACATGATGTGAAGCACATTTGTTTTTCATATCAACGTACTGGTTTGAGGATTTATTTGGGAAACCGCAGTGTTGGAGGATCTTCCTGGAGGTTTCATGTAGAACGTTTGCTTGATATTGAACATTTTTTCTCCACTCTTATTATAGGGGGTCAATCATCTCCAGTAAATGGGGAACTTATAGTAACGTGTATAACATCCAGAAGGAGTGAACATTTTGATTTGGTTGAA